GTGGTGGGCAGTGAGGGCCTCATGGGGGAGGGAGGGAGGAGAGGAGGAACAGGCTGAGCTGCGTGGGGGGGGCTGAGAGAGGAGGGGGGGCCGAGCTGGAGTGGGGGCGGGGCCTGTGGCAGAGTGGGAGTGGAGTGTGAGTGGGGCCGCAGGCAAAAGAGGCGGGGCTGAGAGCTAGCCTCCCCCAGGGGAAGCTTCACCTGCTGCCCATGCTTATGTGGCTCCCCCCCAGCATACTGGCTTTGTTGATCACATTCTTAGTAGCCTGTCTCTCCTCATTCAATGTTTATGGAGCCTAACTCAGGCTTTGTGGATCACAAAGTTGTTTCTGTGATTTTCTAAGTGCCTAAAAGTTAGTCATTGCAACACTTAGTGTTGCAATTCCTAAGTCCCTTTGTGGATCCAGGCCAAAGTCCTTATCCTGAGAGAAAAAGAGTAAATTGCCTAAAAATTAAAATTACAGCATTTATTATACTGTACACAGAATGCCTCAGACATCAGCATTTTGTTCTTTTTTCTCAAAATGTACTAATTTTTTACCAATCTTCTTAGTGCTCCTAATTATTGTATGAAAAGAGAAAAAAATTGTTATTTGCAGCCCAGAAGAACCTGAAATTAACCTCTCACAAAAACCAAATGAGATTTAATGAGACTGGGTTCAGTCTTGCTTCAGATTAAGTCAGTGGCAATTTTGCCTTTGATTTCAGAGAGAGCAGGATGGTGTATCCATTCCACTAATTTTTTTTCACCAGTTAATCTATCAAGCAATTTCTCACTTAAAAGACCTAATCTGAAACAATGTATTCCCTTTTTAGAACATCTCCCAATAAATCACCTATTTTAGCTATGGTATGCAATGTGGTATCAATGAAAAGACCATGAAAATATGAAGAAGAACAGCTTGAAACCCTTACAAGAGAAAAATAATTTTATGTTTCTTGTTCTGTCTAATTGCTTGTTCCACTGTGTTGTACTTTTTATGGACTAGTTGTTGGAGTATACTGTGTGTGCAATAAACAACTATTCTGGCTATCAAATGCTTGTTTTTATTTAGCATTCAATTGACCACAAAAGCCATGTACCTATAATTTAATGTCATGGACGTTGCCATCCAAAACAACTACAGTGAAAAGGATTGTTTCTTCTCATCTGTTATGAAAGATACAAACTTATGGTAGACAATATCGGGCAGCCTTGTGGCCAAAGATTATAAGAGTCTCTCTCTCTCTTTGGCATCTCAGAACCACATTATATTGTAAATGTTCCAGCTCTTGAAGCAGGATAGAACCACAAAGAATGGTGATGCATATCTTCTCTAATATAAGTTTAAAGAGTATGCGCCTTCAGTGTTTTCACAAGAAGTGTTTGCTCACTATATTATCAAAATAAAATAAAAGTAACTAACTACCAACTAGATGTATTTTTATACACAGTTTAGGAAAAAAATAAAATTGGGTAGAGATTATGTTTCATCTATGTCTCTCTCTCTCTCGTTGCTCATTTATACCTTCTTACAACACTACTAATCAGAGAATTCCCATAAGTATCTCTACACTTTCTATAACCATGTATGATACTGAGACATCACTCTTGCAGTTGTAAGGAAACCAGCTCCTCTGTACCAACAGTAACAGTTCTGCACTTAAAAGTTCATTCTCAAAATGGCAGGAAATCAATTGCATTCAGACATAACACTGTAAGACTTGTTAAGACTATGAATATTCCCTCTTTTCTGCTAGCACTTTCCCCCCTACAGTAGAGTACTGGTCATTAATGTGACGAGAACTGGAAAGCACAGACCTCTGTAACATCCCTAGCACAAAGAAAGTACTTAAGATTGTAAACTTCTTAGGGCAGAGATCATCTTTTTAGTCCATGTTTGTACGCTGCCTGGCACAACCATATGTCCATGACACTAGGTGCTATTATTTATTATAATACAAATAAATAATAACGTAATAGTTTGCAATTGCAAACACATATATATAACACACCGCACATATAGACATCTAGGCCCAGATTTTCAAAGGTATGTTTGCTCCTAAATTCCATGAAATCAATGGAAGTTACAAGTCTAAATACCTTTGAGGATCTGGGCCTTCGAGCCTTCAGCACTGGCACTGAAAGACACGATTTTGAAAGATTCCAAGGCTTTTTGGCTGAAATATAAAAAATGCAATATTCTAAACTCTGAGATCAGTGTTTGAGTGAGAGATGGAATTAGTTTGTCTGCCTTTACTGGTGTTCATTCTTCTCAGATACTGCTACTCCATCCTTGCAAGTGATGGCATTTACCCCTGACTCATAAAGATATTTCTGAAGAGACAATTTACTGTCTTTGGAATGCACCAGACTGAACCAAACAGCATGTAGTATCAGAACAATTGCAAAAGGACAGAGGGAATACACCTTGAGTCTCCTACAAAGGTTTTATCTTCTTTCTGCAAATTGCTGCATACAAACATGGTTTTACTGGTGCCACAGGACTCTCTGATGGTTTTACTTTGTTTGTTTTTTAAAGATTTCATTCACTGCTGGGACACACGATTCAAATTAATACTTGCTGACAGCAGGAAAGATTGGCCATTATTTACACTTCAGGAATTTGACAGAGGAAGATTGATAATTAAATATGCAAAACCTCAAATTTTTAGACAGCTTCCGTTAGTTCTTTCCAATCTCTTTTGTTTGTATTTATAGTTATAGTTGAAGAAGTTCATGTGTACTGACTTAGGAAAGCCATTTCTACAAAAAATAAAATAGCCAGACAATAACTTAGTTTCTCATGAAAACAACAAGGAGTCTGGTGGCACCTTAAAGACTAACAGATTTATTTGGGCATAAGCTTTCGTGGGTAAAAACTTCACTTCTTCGGATGCATAGAGTGAAAGTTAGGGCTGGTCTATACTTACCGGGTAGTTCGACGGCTGGGGATCGAAGTTCCGGGTTCGATTTATCGCGTCTGGTCTGGATGCGATAAATCGAACCAGGAAGTGCTCGCCGTCGACTGCGGTACTCCAGCTCAACGAGAGGAGTACCGCGGAGTCGACGGGGAGCCTGCCTCCCGCGTGTGGGACCGCGTCTGAACCGCGGTAAGTTCGAAGTAAGGTATGTCGAATTCAGCTACGTTATTCACGTAGCTGAATTTGCGTACCTTACTTCGACTTGGGGGGTAAGTGTAGACCAAGCCTTACAGATGCAGGCATTATATACTGACACATGGAGAGCAGGGAGTTACTTTGCATTCAGGGGGTAGCCGTGTTAGTCTGTATCTACAAGTCTGCTCTCCATGTGTCAGTATATAATGCCTGCATCTGTAACTTTCACTCTATGCATCCGAAGAAGTGAGGTTTTTACCCACGAAAGCTTATGCCCAAATAAATCTGTTAGTCTTTAAGGTGCCACCAGACTCCTTGTTGTTTTTGTAGATACAGACTAACACGGCTACCCCCTGATACTTGACACCATGCAAGGCACTTATTTCTCATGACAATTTTCATAAGATGATGGGGTTGGCCAAATGTTCTTGGGCAACATTCCCACTTCCTACCCTTCACAGTATGGGGCGCGCTAGGTGTGTATTTGATTGCAGCTCTCCACCCCAGAAGGAGCTGCTTTCCAGCAGGGCAGTATGTTCAGTTTGTAGAGTGGATATAAAATAAATGTAAAATACACAGTCTAGGGCAAGCCGTGCAGGAGCAGACGGCGTGTTGCAAGAGATTAGGATTGGGCCCAAACATCCCTTGAAGAAAATCACACACAGCACAGAGAGGGAGCCGCTCGCTCCTTGACGCTTCTCCCTCAGCAGCAGCCTGAGCCAGCCCGCGCTGGGCAGGGCAAGCGCAGGTGCGAAGGCGGGTGTGTCTGCTGCGCGAGGAGCCCGTCCCGGGAACATCGAACCGTCGGGGCCGCCTGCCAACGCCCCCCGGCAGCCGCCTGCTTCACCTCCCCGTCCCATTCACCCTCCCGCCTTCTCCTCGCTGCCCGCGTCTTTCCCGCAGCCTCGGCCGCTTTTACGCTAATTGCGTAAATCGGTGACACAAGTTTACGGTGCTTATGATGGGGGCGGGGGCGGGGGGGCGACTAGAACACGTAACGCAGCACGGCGTTCGTTAGCGTCTACACGGCGTAGAGAATAACGACTCTACCAGAATAGCCCTGGAAAGGGTTGGAGTAGCCGCTTTGCGTAGCCCTGCTTGTCAGCCATCTTTGATTCGGGCAAGGCTCCCCCCCCCACTTTGCTATCACCGTGGCTCAGTCAGGGGGGGGATTTCCTCCTGACGCCGAGCCAAGCGAACGCCGCAGATGCAATACAGCGTTTCATCGTCCGGATTTGCCCGGATTCAAAATGGCCGCCGCGCAATTCCACGGGGCGGGGCAATAGTCAAATCTCGTTCAGGGGGCGGGGAGGAGGAGAAATCTCTCGAGAGTGTCCGGGACCTCAGGCCGCAAGGCCGGAAGCTGCTGCGTACTAGGAGAGGCGTGGGGAAGTGAAGTCCCCCTGTTCGCTAGTTCGTGTGCGTAGGGGCGGCGTGGTGCAGGGCGGCTACGCTGCGGAATCGGCGTAGGGGACGTTAGCGAATCGGCGGGGCGGAGGCAGCGGCAGTAGCAGTAGCTGGGGTTGGCTGGTGGGGGGAGGGGGAAGCTCGGTCAGTGCCGCCGCGGCTGAGGTGGAGGAACGTCAACAGCAGCAGCAGATCCGCCGCCAGCGCCATGGGTGAGTGTCCAGCCCGGGGCCCGCGGGGCCGCCCTGCGCCCGGAGCCGGGACTGTGACAGTTGGAGCGGGGGGGCGGCGGCGTTTCCTGTGGGCGGCGGCCGCGGCTCGGGGTCTCCATGACGGGCAGGGAGGAGGGGGGGTCTCTCCGCCGCCCGCGAGGCTGTAACGCCGGGTATGGCCCAGCCGCCGCCCCCTTCCAGTCTGCGGCGCCGGGGCCACCCCGCCCCAGAGAGCTCGCTCGCAGCCGGAGCTCCAGGCGCAGCCCGCCGCGGGACCCCGCCCCGCTGCATCCTCAGAGCTGAGGGCTCCAGCCCG